TTCAACGAAAAAGCAAAAAAAACTTGAATAGTAGTATGAATAGTATACTCTTTTCTTTCTTTTCCAGTCTTTTTCTTTTTTTTTAATTGCTGATTTTCACTTACAATTTATAACCAATGAGGAGGGGATATAAAATATCATGATATCTACTTTAAACAAAAATTTCAATATTACAGCTGCACCGCTTATCATCGATAAAATTCCTCCGCCTACCATAACAAAAGTTTGTATTATTAATTTTGTTTTATTATATATAATAATAAATATTTATAGGGATAAGACTAAAAACTCAAATCAGTATTAGAAAAAAGCTCGTTTCAACCGTTAAACATCAATTTTAATTACCGATTTATGTTGGAACACTAAAAAAACCTTTATATGGGTATCAACTTGGTGGACCAGGTTTTTAACCAAAAATAACAGTTTTGACCCAAAATGGCTTGAAACTCATTTTTTATCTCGGTCAACATGGTTGAACCTATATTGACCTGGTGGACTCGGTTTTGATCAAAAATAATGGTTTTGACCCGAAATGGCCCGAAACTCATTTTTTATCCTAGTCAACATGGTGAGACCCATATTGACCCGATGGACTTAGTTTTGACTGAAAATGACGGTTTTGACCCGAAACGGCCCGAAACTCATTTTTTATCTTGGTCGACGTGGTTTGATCAGTATTGACTCGATGGACTCGGTTTGGACCAAAAATGACGGTTTTGACCTAAAACGGCCTGAAACTCATTTTTTAGCTTGGTCAACATGATTTGACCCGTATTAACTCGATGGACTTGGTTTTGATAAAAAATGACGGTTTTAACCCAAAATGGCCCGAAACTCATTTTTAAGCCTGGTCGACATGGTTTGACTCATATTGACATGGTGGAATTGGTTTTTATGGAAAGATGCGGTTGATCGGAGAAAAATATATTTTTAAATTTTAAACTTTTTTTCTTAATTTTTTTTGGATTTTTTATGAATAATAAAATAAAATAACATTGAGAAAAGTTTAGTGAATCCAAAATTGGGTTATAACAAGTTGCACCAACCATTAACAAAATGGTGTAACTTATGTGCTGCCACTATTAGTGCCACAAATCATGCCATGATTTATGAATCTTATCTTACCATTGATACCTATAAATAGAGGCATTGTTTGAGAGAAAAATGAGAGAGCAGTGAGTGTGTGTAAGAGAATAAGAGAGAAAGAGGAGCTATCAAGGGCAGCAGCCCTACTGCCATTGCAGTAGTGAGCGGGGAGTTGGGTTTGGGGGGGGG